CTAAAGGATATTAGGCAGGATATCAGCATGTTCTGTACCGAGGCGGTTACCTCCTCTCTATCGCCTCCTTTTGGGACATAACTGTCTCACTGTAGGAGCTCACTTCCCTCCAATCATCTGTCTTCACCAGCATAGCCTTAACTACTGCTGGCAGATATAGGTCTCGCTTGATCCTGGCTACCAGGACGCGCCACTCAGAGAAAGACATAGGGTTACTTCTCGTGCGCGTGTTGTCCGGAATCAAAGATACCTCAGCAGGATTCTGGTACTTTCCGAAGTAACCATGCCCGGTCAACAGGCACTAAGCAGGCTAAATAGACTATAAGAACAAAGGATGTAACATAAAAACCATCAAATGTATTAACTCTATTTAAATGTGAATAAATGAATTTTGAATTTGAATTTTGAACACCTAAGTCAGCCTGAAAAAATTGCACTCTTCTCTCTTCAGCACGCTTTGAAATGCCAATAACTCATGAAAATCTGCAACACCAGTGGTAAGAGGATGGAAGGTGGTTTTATACCACGACGTTGGAAAGAAAAGCACACGGCCCACCTGATGGTATTACTTACCGTGGCCTATGAAAGCTTACAACACAACACATGGGGCATTATATGCGCCTTGCCGAAGCTTTATAAACCTATTTACTCCTTTCTTGAAGCCCATATTATAGCCCACCTGGAAAACCTTGACAGGGAGTTCATTCCACAATCGGAGGGTCCGTGGGAGGAAATTCCTCTGAAACCGAACTGTCCGGGACCATAATAATGTAATAGAATAAAGAAATGCAAATGCCAGTATAAATGAAAACAACAAAAATCTTCTTTTACAGTTTTATTTAATAACGAATTTTGTTTTCAGCACACAGACTCCATATACTTACAGATACTGATTGCGTACAATAAAAATGTATTACTAAGCGACAAAATATCGCAGGACATTCTGTTGCTTGGTAAAAAGGAGACTTAAATGGTACCTATAAACTGAATCAAGTGATTTGTAGTATTTATACAATACACATAAGCATTATATTAACGTCACTGTTAATCATAAGACAATAAAATATGTTACATATGCATTGAGATATTAAAATGATTATTGCGACGCAAAACTCAATCAAAACAGTATTGTGCGCTTTCAGGCACCATTTTAACAAATTTTGACACATAGAAACGATTAAGAAATGTGCGAATCAGAGATTCATAATAATGAATAACATCAATAATTGTAATTGGCATATAATATATTATTAACTTACGTACGTAGGTTAACTGGCTCGTAAGAACCAACTCATCATGTCTACATTTATTAGAACATCAATATTTTAATACATCCAATAAATACATGTATAATTTATAATAATTATAATAGCACACTGAAAACACTAAATTTATTTTTAATTCCGTGATAAGGTTAAAAGATCGATGAAAGATTCCCTATTCGTTAGAAACGTGTATAATGCATAGGCAAATAGTTTAGAATCAGTTTTCATTTTACAAGTGTATAGAGTTTAGATTAGTATGCAATATATGTCGGAGATGGTCTCATTTTACTCTTGTATAAAAATAAATGCGGGACTTCCCCACTACGTCTTGTCACTTGTGTAAGCATGTGACTTGAGTTGACGACGAACGTGTGTCGTCTAGCTTTTGATTGGGTTTCACACATCAATATTATGTATATGAATACTGTTCACATGAGGTAACTATACACTATAAAACTATAATACAATGCAATAGGGGCTTACAACCTGTGCGCGAAAACTTGATATCCGTGTGTAGTTGGCATATACGATTGCCCTTATAGTCATAAAAAGTAAATAAAGTTATTGGTGTAAGCCTATTTTCAGTAGCGGACGTCTTGTAGCTCAAAGAATAATGAATCTTAGAAATGGAGGTATAAAATTGATATCAGCATAGCATACTCAAACACTGAGTCCCAAGTAACCGCGCACATGTTATACGTCTACAAAATGCCATCAAAAGCAATAAGTCTATGGACATTCAATGCGAGTAAGTAGGTATAATATTGTATATTTTAATATCTATATGATAATAATGTATAAGTTACTTACATTGCTAGGCCTGTTTTTTTTATGATTTTGCCAATTTCTCTAGTTCCGTGTAACATACAGTTCGGAAAGTCGATGTTAAAATGTGGGGAGCAAGTAGCCAAAATAAGAACATTAAGCGCAGAGTATCGAGATTTTATAAGCAACCTTTTCAGAAGAGTAGGTACTATGAAATATAAATATTAAATTATTAAAAGGCCAAGACCAACGAGAAGTATTAGCAAACTATATCATAAACAAAAGTGTCTAGTCAATTCCACCGCGTTCAGTCACATTCCCGCCCTATTTCTGACTCTATTTAGTGATAGCAAAAAGAAATGCATACTTAACTAGGTATGCATATTATGTACGTAGTCTTGTCTTTATGATGTGTTTACACACATTATTTTCACGTCGATCTCTGCCCAAGTCTAGTCAAATATACTTTTCCCCATAAACATTTAACATCGTATTTTCGAACTAATTTATAAATAACATCCAAATTCATCAATAGAAGGACGAATAAAAGGTCCGACCAATGAAAATAAATCGTTTGAATATTAAACTTGCGTTTCTGGATATCCTAAATCCATTAACTAGTATCGTAGTTCATAAATTAAAAGTAACCGCTATGTGGGGCAGAAATGCATATTTTAACAACAATATATACTAATTAAAACTTGTATATTTTATGACAATTTTATACATTCATACGATTTATTTCCTTTGCAAGTTACGATAATACATCCACAACCACAAATGTTCTACGTTTTGATTGACCTCAACAGGAATGATGACTGAAATCATTTACTATTTTGTGAGTTCAATAAATAAGTTTTATATTGCGATTATCAATAACATCATGAATTTGCCCTATTACATTAATGTTGTTTGTCCAAGTTCTTTTACAAAATATCCTATCACCTTAAGCTGTGTGCTTTTTAAGAAAAAATAGTTTATTACACCGTCATCATCCCTATTTGACCAGTTGCCTACATATAAAGCGTACGTCGAAAGATATGTATGGTGTTAATCAACAAAATCGTGAAACACCTAGGCAGGTCACGATTTAGCTAATATAACGACACGTACCTATTTATTAATAATACCAGTTGATTATTGTCTCGCTGTAGAATATCATGTCTCTGATAAGAGAAGAAAGTCACATGTGTTCATCACTTGCCTCTATAATGTGACTTAGTTACACAACATCAGTCATCCCTAAGATACGATCTCGCACGCAAGAATTGGGCCCCTCAATCTGTGGGGAACCTTGGCTTTCATTCGTACAAAATACAGACTTTTGATAAGTAAAGTTCAAGGACAGAAAATATAGCGCTATCGTAAATTTTTCGCGCTAATGATATGTAAAAAATACGAATACAATAACAAAAGAGTCACGTGCAAGATCTATTATAAGTCACATAGTATTATAGTAATAGACGTGGTCGATATAATTGCACTAAAATGCATGAAAACTTTCGTGTACAATACTTATCATATCTACTATAAATGTGTAATATCAAAGGATCGACTTTATTACTACGAAAAATGTTAAGAGTTACGTTGGACAACGAAGATTCACATTGATCTCTAGCTAAGGGATTCTGTAGAGATTGCGTCATTGCATCAAATATTTAATTATAGTATTCGTCACGACCTTATGACTCACGTATGGCAGGTTTATCTATAGTCTAAGCGAAGATAGCAAGGCACAGCACAGGGAATTTATATCTTCTCGACACTGTAAGCGACTTTTGTAGGAAACAAGATAATTTTGAACAAATCAGCTTATATTAGGGTTTACCCTAATATATATAGAATTTTTCTTAGTTCTGCAAAACAAATTGTGTTATCAGAATTTGCTGGCAAAATATTTACGCTAAATTTACGTAGCGTAAATACCATTAATCACCTAATTTCTCTGTAATTATCGTCTGCTAAAATATTAATACATCTCCCAAGTATAAATTACAGTATATATACTATATTTGGATGAATTATGTGGCGGATTAAAATTATATATATATGTATCTTTTATGCAATGTAGTCGTACATTAATTTACAATCAAATAGCCATATGATCAAGTTTCGCCAACTATTTATTTAAACATTGAACTTTATTTATAGATTTTACGCACAATAAGTAGGATATTCAAATATAAATACGCTACCAATTCCAATCAATGAATTTAAATAGTCATGAATATTTAACAGTAAGAACACAATTGTGTACTGATTAACTGTCGGTTATTCTTTCCAGATGTGGCTTTCAATTTGATTACATATAGCCAGAAAAATAGCAAAATAATAGTCTAAATGTTGTCACTTTCAAAAGATAGCTGTTTAGTGTATCAGTACTCTTAGATTGGATCTTCAGACTTTAAACTACAACAGCGCCACCTCTGAAATGCAGAATAACATCGGGACTACAAAAACACAATACCATAATCGGTGTTCTTGTAGGATTCTAAGCATTTATTTAAAAACCTTGACTGACCCAGGAATAGGTCCAAACAATGTGTGCTTGTCAGACGTGAAATCAAGGTATTTGTATTTAATGCAGTCTCTCAATGTGTGTATTATAGTAAAATGGGGAGGATAGGGATCAAGTGGTGAATGAAGACAGAAGAGGGGCGAATAGATATGGGGAAATTCTTCATAGTATCGATCCACCCCTATTCTATCCCTGTTCACATGTCAATCCCTATTCATCCCATTTTACCGTATGTGTCTATATACTTCTGACAACAGCATAATAGCATATATTTACCAAAGTTAAAGGTGTAGTTTGTGAATTACAAAAGGTCTGTCTATTTAAAAAATATACTTTCCTACTGCTAATAAGCACTATTTTGCCACAAAATTGTAATACAGATTTTAACTTTTCGTGCGTGTGAAGTGAGATTAGGCAATTTAGGTACAATATAATTGTACTCATTTGAGTACCATATTTAAATTTCTGACGCCCAACCATACATGATTTTGGTAGATTAAGAATAAACCATTCAAACACATTATTTCTACTAAACAACATATTTTAGAAGCATCACTTATAATATTCGAAATTAATTTACAGATGAGAATCCTAATCTAGAAAATTAACGTATAAAAATGAATATCGCTGACATTGAGAATTATCTGTTTAAACATTCTCAGCTACGATACATTTTTCTACAATAGTGGTTCCCAACCGGTCGTCCGTAGAAGACAAGACAAAAAACGGGTCTCGAAACATAAAAAAAAAAATTGCACAAAGCAATACCTCTGTCCAATAAATATTTATACTTATTGTCCGAGTAATCTTTTGTCAAAGGAGACCAATGAGAGGAGCAAATGATTTCAATAACTATTTAATATAACGATTTAGATTTATTTCATACTAGTGTAGGTACGTAGACAAACAAAATTAATGTCTTCAAGTTTCTTTCAAACATAATGTTTTATTTCTTTTTGTTTTTCAAAACAGTTCTTTTTTTGTTTCGTCGTATGCTGCCTTATTAAACTAGTAATTTAATTACCTATAAGCGGAAACTTGTTATTGGCCGTTTATCTGTAATTTAATCTATGCTTATGTTATACCAAGCTGTAAATTTTCCTAAAATTGTAAAATAAAATAATCCAAGTCACTATTCTTATGAGAACGATCCCCATGAAATCTTAGGGTGACGAAATGAAAAAGTAATTGGTTTACCGATACTGATCCCTAACCTAACAAACAAGAATAATTCGAATAATAAAATGGTCCTTGACCAAGACACGGTTGGAAACCCCTTTTCTGCAATGATTTAGAAAATCAAATCGAATATCCCACAAACAAACTTAACGTAATAAAATAATTTTAACTAATATGTTAAAACCCTGTGTCTACATACAAAATAAAATATATGAAACTAACCTTTACATAATTAATAATAGATTGATCGTACAATATAATACTAAAAATCTCGTATTTTATAAACTATTTGTAGATTTTACCCGGCTTATCCACTTTGCTGTAAATTATTTTATAATATGTAATACGATTAACAGAAAATTAAAACTAAAAGCACGAGATGATAAATAAGTTTGTAGCGTCATATTTTTAATATATTATATTTAAAAAAGAAAGTCGTATTAGTTACACTATTTATAACTCAAGAACGGCTAAATCGACTTGGATGAAAATTGGTGGGGAGGTAGCTTAGAAGCAGGAGACCAACATAGTCTCCTGGTACACTCCTACATTATCCAAAACTTTTGTTTTACTTTTTATCGAAAATCACGAACGAGAACGGGAAAAACGGGATTGCGTGTGGAGTGTCGAGGGCAGAAGATAGTCATGTATATTATTAGTTAATATTTTAAATGAGAAAGTATACATGTTTTCATACATGTTTCATATTGATTTAAAAAACGGAGGGCGGCGCTGTGCGTAAATAAACATGGTTGTGGCGTGCTTTAAATGGGTATAATTTAAGATAAAACAAACTTAATTAACGGTAAAACGGAGGAATGGGGTGAATAAATGCTAGAATATTTTCCCAACATTTATTCACCCCTCTTCTGTATCTATTCACCCCTCGGATTCTATTCACCCCGTTTTACGGTAGTTTAATGTTTCTTGAATAACGGTGTTTTCCCACAAATGTTTGATTTGTTTAGTAGCAAATATTTTTTTTGTATGTATTATAATAGTATTTTCCTAGGCTAAACTAGTCCAAGGCGATCGAGCCCCGCGCAGCAGGGCTCCTTATTTCTGCCCGCAGAGTTATGAAGTAACCTAATCAATGGCATAATAAAAAAAGCAAACAGTTTAGTAGTACAAAAATTACTCACTTTCTCTAGTATTTAGACTTACGCACATGAAATATGGTAATTTGTTCGCAAAGACCCTGATTTTGAAGCGAACATACACATTGCAAATTCACGATCACACAGAGAAAAATACTTCATTTGCCGACATCGCGATCGAAAAATACATTATTCAAGATTTCTAGTCAAAAATAGGTATACAATAAGTTACTTGATGTAGTTATACATGAAAGTAAAAAATACTAAAACTAAATGTCTAATAAATATGTCCTACTAGGTATATCATGGATGAATAATTTAAGTGTTATAATGTACGCAAGTGAATAAGTAAAATTCAGAAGCATGATATTCATAAATGTAATTTAATATTGGTAAGATAGTTAATATAGTAGCGTCCTGCCTCTTTTTCTCATGTAGAATGTGCTTAACAGGGTACATAAAATGTAATTGATGCTTTATTTTAATGTAACGCCTGCATTTACTGGAAAGCAATGAAGTATTGAGTAAGATAAAACATTCAGTGGCTTGACTGTTTCTTAGTACTATGGAAGAATAATGCTATTCATAATACATAGGAACTCTCCTAAACAATATGTAATAATACTGATATTGTTTCAAGTCGTTAAGTCGTTTTCATAAGAACTTAATATGTATAATAGCAAGTTGTTATTTCTTACCATCTTTGTAATAAAGAAGAAGTACAAGTATAATTATTATTATTGTAATTCCGACATATTTAAAGTTTTGATAGTGATATCAAATAAAACATGTTCGATAATTCAAGTGTATAAAACAATAGAAACAAAGAAGGAATGTAAACGCGATTAAAAAAATATAAAAAAAGAATAGTTTATAGCACAAACTATTATTTAAATAATCAGATCATGATTTCAAGGAATACAAAAATGTCTAAATATAGTGTAAGTAGGTATATAAATATTACATAAAAAGGGCCGTATATACAATGAGCATATTGCTCTTTTATAATTGAAACGCATTAATAAATCATAATTATATTGTCTGAATTGGGACATCGACTAATGAGATGTTTAAATAGTAAGAGTTTCATCATTCATAATTCTTTAGGAACAAATTATACCATAAATTGTATAATTTTAATATATCAACTACTTGCAGTAAAAAGTCTTGATCCAAATTCAACGTTCCAAATTAGTTACAATTAGATTGATTGTACCTAGTACTAATTGCATTGCAACGCCAGACAATTTTAGATTTTAAGTGGTCAGTTTAAGGTTTATAATTACAAAATGACAGTCAATAATGGCCCTTCCCTAATTCGTCTTAATAAGAGTCAAATAGGACTGTAGTACTGACATAGAAGTTAACGCAAAGCGCGGGGTATTTTCACTATACATAAAGTCATACTAAGAAAATTAATTACGTATTGTATTCCGTAATGGTAGTACATCAATTACAAGTAATATCTTCCGAAACTGAAGTAAACCTTTGTCGACTTATAAAAATAGACAACATTGATTGTCCACTTGGTTTAGGAAAATGTGAAACTATTCGGTAAATTATGAAATACTGACAGATGACTTTAATCTACTATGCAAGGAACACATGAAGATATGTTTCATAAAAGTAATAACTAGCTCTAAACATCTAGACATTACGGACATCCATGGCTAAACGGCGACTCATACATTCAGTAATAATAATAATTATAAATCAATAAAACAATTTTATATTATCTTTACGAACACGCAACTCATACGCAGTAACAAAACAACAAAAAATAAATCTTACAGCTACTCACCAAAACGATAATTAAGATTTAAGGACTAAAATTCTTTGGCTCGATGGAAAAAAAATGGCCAATAAAAACGTAATAATATAAAGGAAATTAAATTACCATAATTTTATGAAGCTTTCACATTTTAGCACCATAAACAAACAAGTACATATAGCTAGACGCCGGCCACCAAACAAATTGCCTCTTACACAATATTTCAATTCAACCCTGCTTCTGTCCTTAATCAATAATTGAGATTTGCGCAAATCCTATCAGTGCTTTGTCATCGAACTGTTCGTTGGGTCCAGCCGAATTCTGAAATCGAAACAATCAAGTATTACAGATATATTATCCGTACTTCTATTTGCTAGCTCAGCCTATAAACTTAGAAGGACTGGCAGGTAGGCTGCGCGCGCGCAGAGAAGTCAGTCACATCTTTTCTATTGTAATCTTTCTTACCAATTAAGACAGAACTAATACCCATGTCAGGAAAAATGAAAATGATGCTTACCAAATGGAATGTTACTGCTTTAGGATGTGTAGTACCAGACAACACCTGTGCATCGAGTAATTTGGCCAGGTTCACGGAAATGGGAACTGAGTCGTGAGGGTCGACCAGGCCAGCCCCTACCAACTCCATAGCAATGCCTTCTGCAGTATCCTTGCCGACTATGTACTCGAAACGTATGTCATTCAGTTCGCGGCGAGCGTTCCTGTAATGAAAGTACTTAAAGGTAGTTCTATTGGAACATAACCGAAAAATCATCTTTACTCCGACCTGGGAAACGAAAGCTAAGCAGTTTAAATCGAACTGACGTCTAATAATGTGTACTATAACATCTTTTTAGTCCTTCCGACGAAATGGCCGTGTTACAAAAATTTGAGTGCATCTGCCCGCCATTTCGTGGGGCAGTAAGTGTGATATCATGGCATGATAAGTATTTGAGTTTATTTGTTTTGTTTGTTTGAGTTTTAGACGAACCTTAATCGTAGCACTAAGTTTACGACTGGAGGCTCTCCATCAGATTTCAAGGCGAACGGAGTCTGCATAGTTTCTGGTGGCGGTGGCGGTGCCGGAGCCGGAGCTGGGACGGGTGGCGTCGGGGCTGGAGGCGCCACGGCCGGAGGCGCCACGGGCTGAGGTGCCACGGGCTGAGGTGTTACGGGCGGAGGCGCCACGGCTGAGAGCGCCGGGGTTTGCTTTGGTGGCTTCGTTTGGTGTTCCTGAAAATTACCTTTCTAGTAATCGTCTAGTATGGTGTAAGTGTGCGCGGAGAAAAGTAACTGGTGATAACTGGATAAAAGTGATTAAAAAACGAAATAATAAAGACAAAAGGCCTTATAGACCAATCAAAAAGACAATGCCCAAAACTGTATAGAGCCATAACCTAGGGTCGATTAAAATCCAAACTAATATTATAAATGCGAAAGTAACTCTGTCTGTCTGTCTTTTCTTCACGCCTAAACTACTGAACCGATTTGTGTGAAAGGGCATTGACTAGAATTGGTGCCTTTCTTTTTTCTGGCGGCTTTCGATGATTTATGGAAAATATTATCTAAAATGCCATTACAAACAAAATTGTCTATGGGCTCATATATGGAAATCTCAGTCTGGACTGAGTTATGGGCGTTGAAAGGAACTGGAGTCAAACATTTTACTTTCGTTTTTTTATTCAAATTATTATATTTTTGTCACAATTCCTAACTTCAAATTGCGCGCCACTGTACGCCGGGCACAGAAACACCAAATCACACCATAATATATCCATATTGCCAGTCGCTAATTTTTATTAGCTATTTTCTTTCGGTCAATAACTTGTGGGATGCTTCTAGGAGTTGTGTCGTGAAGGTTCATGAGTGTCAACTGTGGTACCAGTGGTGGGTTGAGTAGTTGTAGCCGTCCAAACACCTATAGTCAGAATTTTAATTACATTCCAGATTTGACAATAGCTACTGTCATTTTGTGAAATAATGATACCACATATAATAGTGTAGTGATGAATACAAAAATCGATAAACAGTCAGTGTGTGTGTTTTATAATAAATGTTACAGAAAGTGACAGGATAGCGATAGCGATGACGACGACAATTTATAAAATAACTTATTACCATAATAAATCTATCTGTTTTATTTGTCATGTTCCTTCATGATTACATTTTTTATTTATTTCACACACAATTATAAAAGAAAAGTCTCAGATAGTTAATTAATCGTCAAAACTAAATTATCGGTTCAGAAATATTTAATTTCCTGATATACTTAGTTTACGAGAGTAAAATTATAAACGAGAAGCATCGATCCAGAAATATTGCATTTCTATATCGAATAATTTCGCAACGTCACTATTTAGTACTTGTCATAACGTAGCAACACTGAAATTGTCAAATCTAGAATCGAATTAAAATTCCGAGTATAATAAAGTATTTTTTTTGCCGTTAACTCCTGGTGGAGACTCATCTACTTTATAGTTAGCATAATCTTTTGAAGAAAGGAAACCGTCGATTTTGTAAAATGAGGGTCTATACGTCAGATGAGCGCATATTTTTTTCATATAATGTGGTCAGTCGAAATCCATCACTTTGTGACTGAATGACGATGTCTTTGTACAGAATCTTATGCTAGATGTAGATTAAAGTATTAACTGAAGTTAGATTAGTTACTAATCGGAAGTAAGTCGGGAAAAGTAGACAGAAAAATGGTTTTTTCGTCGTTTGACGACTGCCACTACTCAATCCGCTACCGACGCCGCAGCTGACAAACATAGCATTTCATGATAGGGCTCAGTAAAGTATTTTGCGGGTTTTCGACTGAGAGGAAATTGGTCATGAAAATCTGTCATAGGCCACAAACCGTATACATGTAAATTGCACACGCTAGCCAAACAAGCGATTTTTTTTTTCTTCAACAGTACTCAGTTAATGGTCACTGTTCTGATTCCGTAGCCTTATAACAAAAAAAAATCAATAAAAAAAATAAGTAAAAGTCCACAATAAGCTTTAATATATTCCTTGAAATCGTTTATAAACATTTATTACAAAATATTTCTGACAGGTAAATGAAGAAATATGCGTTGCGTACCGCCACCATCAACAAAATCAAAGGAATAAATATACCCACATCTTTGAACTGATTTAACTCGGTTTGGACTGTGTTTTTGATATAAGACCCCATATATTTTTTTGTTTGTAATGTTATTCTGCATAAGTTTTTCCACATCCGATCAACTGCCGCGAAAAAATGAAAATGCACCACGCTCCATACAAATTTGGTCATTGTCATTTGGTACAGACATAGTTTGGAACTTAGGACAGTTTTTATCCCGAAAATCCCGCGGGGGCAGGAACATTCTCAAACTAAAAATGTGCCGGAAGTCACAATACCACGCGAGCAAAAGCTAAGTTATACATATATATGTGGTAGAGTATACAGAGTACATCTCAAATTCAATAATAGTTTTCCATGAAACCCTACACCAAGTCATAAAAATATTATATAACCAATTTATCACGGTCTTGTTTTGTATAATCTTTCCGTAGATTTGCCAGTTAGTTTATACTAGTTTGTTGGAACAAAATCACGTCGGAATATGATGATCTACGTATAATCTTGGAAAATGTGATAAGCTTTGCGGTTTGCTAGCAGTTCTTACAGTGGCGTAGCGTGCCTTGGGGGGAGCCCCGTATAAAAATGACAATGCCAGATCCTGACCCAGTCATACTGTCATTTACAAAAAAAGTGAATTGATGAAAATAATTTTGACGAATAAGGAATCTTTTCACAATAAATCTTATTATTTTTAAACCTGCGGTTTGCAATCTAATAAAAAAAGAAGTTCAATCCCGGAAATACTTTATTACAATGCATCTTCCATATTGTCTAATGACTATTTGCGTTACGTCATACGCATCGCTTGTACGAAATTAGGAAAATAAAAAAGTAAGTAACTGTAAAAAAGATATATGAAAAGTATAATTATGTATAACATTTATTTATTTATTAATAATAACAGATGAAATCACGAAAATATAAAAGAAACGATTACTATCATTAGTTATGATTTTTATGTGTAACGAAACGTTTTGAAGCGCTTGTCAGTTGTCAGTGTCAATATTATCCTTCATTCGCTGTCTGCGTTTCCGTTGTTTTCGCGTTATTTATCATTATTGTTTGGTATTTTAAACAAAAACTGCAAGTTTTACAGGTTTCAGGACAAATGTTTAGGTATCGGTAATTAATACACTACACGATGCTGAATACTGCATACTTGTACATGACTTCTAATATAGTGGGACAAAGATGTACTGAGCACCTGGCATTGTCCTTTGTTTAGGGGCCCTTGAACGATAAACATTTCTCACAATTGGTTTTTTTTTCACATAAAATTTATAATTTTCGTGAAAACCGAAAATTTTTTCACACAACTTCCTCTGCCCTAATTAGCGGACCTTTGAACGCATGCTTTACGCGGGAAAAAAATCGTTTATTTTACTTTTGCGATTACTGAAATAGAATAAAAATTAGGAAGTTTTTATTAATTTTTGTTTAGGCACGTTGGGGCCCCCTGTAGTCCGGGGGCCCCATATAATTGATACGGCAGATACGGCGCTAGCTACGCCCCTGAGTTCTTGTAATTATACAACTCCTTATCTGCATTCATCATCGCTTTCAATAGTCTAGTAACAAACATAGAACATAGAACCAAATAAAATATCAATTATTCACGCGCCGATACAAAATTGTAATATTTTGCGCTGTTGGCTCATCCGGTTATGGTTTGTCCAAAACAAATAGCGTATTTGTGACCTCTTACTTATGGTCTTTTACATTTCATGAACGATTGTTATCGACTGGGTTTTTTTGGGCATTCTTCTTTCTATGCAATTACAATAATTACTCATGGCTTAGCAATTAGAGTTCTATTGTCTCTGCCTACCCCATGGGAGACAAGCGTAAGGTTATGTATGTATGTAATAATTTCTCCTGATTTGGCCTGATATCAGTAAACAATTTTGTATCTCTTCTCACCTCGCCTTCATTGTCACTGCCGCTGGAGTCAGCCTTCTGTAACTGGTTCATTGGTCGCTTGTCATCAGTGATGGATGGCTCCTCATCAGATTCTGGTGCTTCAGCAGCAGCTGGTTGTTCCTCCTCTTCCTCACTCCATACCCATTCACCTGTCACTGTGCGGTGTAACCTGCCAGACGCACCCGTAGAGCGCTTGCTTGCCTGGAATATTTGTTAACATAGAAGTTAGGTCCATTATTTTAACGTATTTTAGTTATTCAGGGTGCAATTTAAAATATGATCTGTAACTTTGGCATATATTGAGCTGATTAAATTCCTCTTAGTGTTTGTCGGAACTTGTCTGTCACCGGGGCTAAAGTGTGAGTAAGGTAAAAGGTTTATAGTAATACCTTATGTACCCTAGTTTCCATACTAGGTCCAATAGCGACTAGAGTCTGCGTTAAATACTTTCTGTCCTTTGCCTTCTTAAAGAATGGATGCTTTAGTAACTCCGTAGCAGTTGGCCTTTTCGATGGGTCCTTTTGCAGGCAATCTACAATCATTTTCCTAAAGGTTTTTCCATATGCTTTGTATTGTTCCTTCTCGTCTGCACCTATAAATAAAAACAATAATCGATAGAGGAAAACATAAATTAAAATAAATGTTTCATGCAACAGAAAGACATGAGCAACAGTGTTTTTGTAAACAACATTGTCCTGTGACGGTGGTCTGGGGAAGGTAAACAAATGTCAAATTGTTATGTATTATGCAGAATTCATTTACTTCAGAACAAACTCTGAAGCTGTAGCAGTAAACACTATTCATACATATTTCATACACATTTTCAAACTGTTTTCCACATGATATTAGCAATTGAAATCAATGGGCACTTTGAGGTGTTTTTAGTTTATGAAATAGCCATGGTAGTGTATTTCATTTGAATTTCTGATATTTTCAACGAACACTTTAGATACGAGTGTGACATTACTTGTAACATGAACATAACATTACAATTTAAACTATAACTGATTAGACATAAATAAATGATCTCCAATTTGGATAAAACCTGTTTATATTGCACACATAATTATGTGGTGTGTAGAATGCTTGATACATCTCATATTGCAAACAATCAGTCGTCACAATTTAATAAAGCAAGTTAATATGATATGTTGGGTTCAAATTTCTATAATACCAACTTTATATTAGTTGCCAGTACATTTATCACTTATTACATTATATGCATATTATGCAGAACTGGAGTCGGATTACTTCAAATTAATGACTAGGTCTAGTCTTCTCAAGTGCAGCTGTAGAGAATCTCAAATCCAATCTCAAGTTTATAAATAGGGCGAAGCACTGTTAACACTAACTGCTAAGTTTAAATTGATAAAAGTCAAACTTCCACTCAGTGACTGACATAGCGCTCTGAGGGTTAAGTGTAACCATTCCAAATTTAGCATGTAGATATGTCTAGTTAAGAATTTGAAATCTCGCGATGTATAATGCACTAAATACATTCAGTTCAAAATGTATTAGTGGACAGAGACTAAGGAAAAACAACTCAATTTTATATATTACTTGCTGACCCGGTAAACTCCGTACCGCCTACAATTGTTTTCTCTTCTTTTAAACCTGCCCTGGACTCCCACAAACATTTCAAGACTACAATTCTTTTCTTTTTATATAGATAGATATATATCTTATAATTATAAAAATGAAAACTGTTGAACTGTGTCACGCCATAACTTGAGAACAGCTAGACCGATTTGGCTGATTTTTTTTTTGTTGTGTGATATTCAGGAGAAGGTTCTTATGACAGAAAAAATCCTGATAATCTTACGGGAACGGGAGAAGACGGGATTACGTGTACAAAGTCGCGGGCAGAAGCTAGTGATGAATAAATGTGGGTTAAGTTAACATGTAACATGCATGTAATTCAATATCTTACCAGTATCCAAATTAGGTGGGTCATTCTGCAACGTTAGCATCAATACTTTCATTGGTGGATACTTGTGATACGGAGCTGTGCCCGTTGCCATTTCTATAGCGGTTATTCCAAAAGACCAAATGTCTGCTTTAAAATCGTAGCCATGGTCCTGCAATTTTTATATCCTGGTGTAATAATAGCCTTTACGTCATTTCAGTCCAAACAAAAAAGAAAACCTAACCCCGAGACTTGATAAGACTAAGTCAAAATTTGCATTTTTATTTGTATTATGCACTGATAAATTTCCTGTTTTTCTGTTACTCTTTTAGAATAACCATTGTCCGCCATATTACGTCTGGCTCATAAATGAATAATTAATTAATAATTATGTAATAAAAATATAAAATTTAATAAAAATACAATCTTATTTCACATTATGTTGATTACACAATTTAAAAAATTCTTAGTCTGCACGTGAATATGTTCTAGTTATATCTGCAGTAGTGCAGTATACTTGTCTGGTATAGCGTAATGTATAAAGTAATAGGCGGGGGGTCTCCTTGGAACTCATAACATAATTGGCTGAAAGTCCCTAAAACAGTAACATGACTGATGGCATGGCATGTAACATAACTGCACAGGCTGTTAAAAAAATATCGGGCAGAATGTTATATGTATAAGTTATATCAATTTAATTGAATGATTACTAAATGCTTTGCATCTATTATCTATTACTGATGAAAATTGGAAAATGATGTGATCTACTTTTGAGGCCTACACGAGTGTTAGTAAACAAAAAATAACAAAATGGTATTAGTAGTGATAGAATCATACAAATCTCACTTGTTCCATGACTTCTGGGGCCATCCAGCATGGCGTGCCTACAAATGTATGTCTAACTTTTTGCCTAGACATGTCTCTGCCAGTGGCCAGCCACGCAGAGACACCAAAATCAGCAATTTGTACAGTCCCATCTTCCCCTAACAATATATTTCCAGCCTTAATATCCCTGTGAAAAAATACTTAAGTAACTATCAACATTATCGAATATATGCATAAGATTCATATTTCAGCAATGCAAAGCTTAGCAGTATTAATTATTATTAGCATAGATGTTATAATTCGCTTGACGCTTGCAACAGTATAGTTATGTCTCATTTAAGGAAATGTCTAACTTTAATAAATCATCAATTTCCTTCCAAGGTTTGTAGGTCACATGATCCAATTGAAAACAAATCCATGCAATGTGATCAGAAAAATCAAAATGTAAGTCATAATAATATTAATATTCAACCTTCGCTTTACTGAGATATGTATTTGCGCACACTGCATTAATTTTTACAAGATTTGTCAAAGCAGCAAAATATATATACATAGTTTAAATATACATAAAATCAAATAACATAATATTTCAATGGCAACCTAAGATTTTCATGGTATTCAAATGATATTGGAAAATTGGGCAACAAAAGTAAAATATGTAAAATTTTATTTTTATAACAACAATTGTGTACTCTCTGTTAAGCATATAAATATTAAGGTATAAAAAATGTTAATAACTACATAAAATAAAACCAAAATTGCAGCATATTTATTTAAAATTATATGAGTTAGGTTTTCTGTATGTCGCAGAATGGCAGCACGCTCAGAGCACAAATTTATAATAATGTTAAAAGATATTTCTTTTAACGCAAAGCCTTTCTTTTCTATTAATAATTATAATATACCTGTGAATTTGTCCGTTACTATGAAAATACTCTAACCCCCTGAGGACCTCCTTGAGAACTGTAGCAATAGTTGCTTCATCAAATACGCCATGCTTGCAGTTTGCCACTTTCATCTTGTGTTTAATAACATCAAGCAAACTGCCTCCTGAAACATTTCCAACAGAGACTAAACCTATTTACTGTAAATAATTTATTATGTGTAGCATAATAATTTTTTACTTCATGTCGTAAACAAAATTTATTGAATTAAGATAGACAAACAGGTGTTCAAAAATATTTTTAAATAATATCATATTTCTAGTAAACAAGGTAAAGAATATCAAGTAAAAATATACTCAATAAATACTTCCTCATATTTGAACTTCATCAAGCAAGCGGTTTAATGATTCAATTAAACAATCCGACACAACTGTTTATGCTATTGAGTTCTTAAGCATAAATTAAGTAATAAAAAATTCATGAGAATATGTTCACCTTCAAGGAGCCTCAGCACCAGCCATAATTCGTCATGTACTACAAAACTAGTATAGTATGTTACTACATTTTCATGATTACAGCTACTCATAGCCTGAAAATAAAAATAGGCATGTCAGCAATTACGCAGAACAATTTATGGTAATTAAAAATCCATTAAATAATGTTTAACAGACAAAATTGCCCTTGTGTACCTGTATTTCCTTCAATAATTCGTCCATGGATGTATTCCATTTTTCTAAATTAATACGTTTTATGGCACATTTCTCACCGCGCGGGACACAGAAGGCGGCATGCACCACAGCAGTAGCCCCAACACCTAAAATCAACAACACTTCAATGCGGCTATCTAAGTTGCTGTAATAACATTAGATTTTGATACGAAGGAAACCATGACTTCATGGATACCAGCAGTTGGAACCATACTACAGTGACCGTATCTATTTTTAACAGAGCCCTAAGCACTTCATTCATTGAAACCCTGGACAAAATCAGAGAAATAGAAGAAAAATTGACATTCACTGGATCATATGGAATTTGACAGAAAGACCCAAATAAGCCATCATCAACTTGACTGCGGCTTTTATGAATACATACAAAACATTAGACTCGAAAAAAAATATTAGTTAGCAATAGTTTAATGAGTTTTAATAAAAAACGTACCAATAACATCTCGTAATTCATAATCATCTTGACTATTGGGCCATGGACACAAATTGTTTGCAGTAGCAGTCGCCATTTTGCGAGTGAATAAATTTCCGATTCCTGCCGCGGCTGTTCCGATCGACAAGCGCGCGGCTCGCGCATATGACGACAATGCGGTTTTCTGACGATCGCACGCTCCGAATGATTTCTGAGGAATGCAAAATAAGGAAAGCTATAGTGAATAAATATTTAGTTCGTCATTTAATTCACTTTAATATTCACAATATATTTATTACATTTTAAAATAAAGAATATTTTAATTAAATTGAAATCGGTAGCGTCATCTATTATTACTATTTAAAACTTTCGGCACTATACATATACATAACCATAGTATATAATTCTCATAATTATTCAATAGATGGCACGAATTACAATTTTGAATTTTAGAAGAGAAGTTTACCCACCAATCATTTTATCACTATTATTGTTAGAAAAGGTAACATAAATATATTTGAAATAGATAATACTTAAAATAAAGATTTTTGATATAATACTATACGAAAGTCGAATAATTAAATAAATAATTTGCATGGCTTATTCGGTTGGTCAGGTGGCTGGGCAACCGGCTGCCGTGCAACGTCTCGTGGGCTCGATTCCCGCATGGAGCAACACTTTGTGTGATCCACAAATTGTTGTTTCAGGTCTAGGTGTCATTCTGTATGTGAACTTGTATGTTTCTAAACGCACCCACGACACAGGAGAAAATCCTAAAGTAAGTAGAGTATTTTCCAATAAATCATACCTCTACACACCTCTACCTAGATCTTTCTAAACTCATTTAACGTAAAACAATAATAGATACTCACCTACATAAAAAGTATTGACGTAGGCAGAATAGAGAACTGAAGACCAGAAAACTTAGGTATCTACCTACATGAAATTTTATCATCTATGATCGATTATATGGAGAGAATAAATTGAAGTGTCGTCGTGTTATTGACTCAGCATGATTGGCAAGTTGGACTTTGCCTCGGTGGAAATGTATACAAACAATTAATGTGTTCTCAAAGTAGGTAGGTACAAGTACCTACCTACTTACTTAATAGGCTACATTTAGTTAGGTATTTAGCCGTACTAGATTGCGATCGAAGAGTTATATTTAGTTGAAAATAGTTGTATGAGTTGTATTAAGTTAGAATCTATCTATGTAGGGGCCGATAGCGGCTCTTATCAAATAATATTGCATATAGGAGGCACCTGCCCTTTACTTGTGGAAATAAAATGTCATTTCCATGTTTAGTAGATTTCAGATTAAGTATATTGCATTGGAGATAAAGCAGAAGGCCGGCCGATTTACGTTAAATATGAGGTCTCTCAGTCAGTTCTTACGGCACCTGACAAATTATCACCACTGTAGGAGTTGTGATAAATGTTTTATCTATTACCCACCGGTCTACCATGACCATACGGTTGTAAGTACTGAACCGTCATAAAAATACATCTAGATTATGAGTGAATTTGTAGGTGCTCGTTGTTGCACTGTATCCGATCTATCTAACTGATTTATAGGTCCATTTTTCTATTAACAATGCCAGTCCAATGCTTACATCTTATGAAGATAAAGTCTATCAAGTCTTATGAAGATTTATTTAAAGTACCAATCTGCGTCATTGGCCGAGTGTCGGGTAAGGGGTCTCGGGTTCGATTTCCAGGTCGGGCAAAATATTACTGGGTTTTTTAAATAATTCTCAGTAGCACGGAGTCTGGAATCGTGCACCGTATATGGCAATAGGCTCACTCCTTGTTACATGGGACTCATAACATGAATAGTGATAAGTGGGTGTTATATTGTACAGTGGCATTCAGTGCCATAATGTGCATCTTACCCGTACGAGGATAAAAAACGTAATGTTATGGTACTAATCTGGCTACGTAGCTATGAACCAGCGGCGTGGCTAGTCAACAAAATGTCACGGCCCCCAGCTTGAAGGGTCCTCAGTTCAGAGGTTGCAATCTGGACTTCTCTCTTTTTTATATTTAGTGGACCTCCGGTTCGATGAATTTCTAGATGAATAGTGAAGACAAGCCTGCCTTAAGGACCATTGATTACTGAATCTAACTGCCCCGTGCTCCACCAACATGAGCCAAGCGAAACACAAGGGCACTATACCTATAACTACCTTTTATTCGAAGCGCTTCGACGTATTTCTAAACACTCTTAACTTAAAATACTCCGATTTCGTGACTGATTCAAACTACTACTACCTATAGTACTATTATAGGGAAAGTTTACGGTAATACTAATTACTACCGTAAACTATTAAAAGTAATTCCTGCAAACTCACTTTGAGTGAATACGAATATTGCCTAATGATGGTCGACCGCCAACGTTGTCAGTAGTACTTCAAGTCCTTGAAAATTGCGGTATGTAAACCAACCAGCAACAAAAACTTAAAACTTTTACTCCAATCCCACTAGGGAAACTCAGGTAGGGTGTGCATAAAATTTTCGAAGCGCGTATATAGTCTGTAGCGCGTAGTCTGTAGCGCGTAGCCCGTAGCGCGTAGTTCGTAGCACGTAGTACGTAGCGCGTAACAGCATATTTTAATATTGTTATCGTGAAAATAACTTTACAAACCCTATATAACCAGATGCAATCTATATTTTGTTATCTGTACATTAGTTACCACCACCATTTACTGGGAACCCCCAATACAAAAATAATATGAACTCTTATAATTATGTGCTTATTATACAAACCTACAACAACCTTTATTTTACGGGGAAAGGCAGATTCCATAAAATGCCACTTACCAAGACTTACTAATTTTAGTTTCAACTTCAATCTATCACAATAATGTTGATACTAACACTATATTATAATCATTTTACAGTTAATAATACTGGGTTAACAGTGTAACAAAATGAACTATTATTATAGTAGAGGTAATTCAATAAAAAATACAGGACCTATGTTTTCATCTAATTTTCCTCTTCGATATAAGAGTTACTAAACTACATAACAAGTTAAAAAATATAAGGAGATAAAAAGTAATATCTCAGCAGCCAAATACTCGTAGGGGACCACATATTTTTACACAAATTAAAATCATCCCCTAAGATTTTCATTGACCCTTTGCTCGATAGATGGCGTTGAATAAAACCGTATCGATACTGAATCGCGCTATGGTTTCGTTACAAGCCGAGTTCATATACCGGCGGGCGACCCGTAGAAAGGTATGGAGTGAAAACTCTAAATGTGTTAATAGCTCATGTAGATGCCGTGAATGCACTACGTATTTTTTCATAGGACTGCCTGCATAGCTGCGGGTCAGTTCTTATTAATACTGAAAAATATAATATTACCTATTAAGATCCAAAATGCTGAAAAATTATTATGTTCAGCTTTAATTCCGCGACTAAAAAAATTAAATAATATGATGTCGGCCCTAACGCCTCTAAGAGCAGGCCATTTATTAACTGTCAAAACAGTACCTACTTAATAGATAACACAGACGACACTCCACATTGATTAAAAATGTCTACAATATTATTTCACTTAGATAAGAATATGGTTAATTTTAAGGCTCCGTAAAGAGGGATCGAGACTGCTTTCGGTACATCAGATAAAATGAATAAGTAGGTATTCATACGTAGTGATACTAATATCGAGAAATCCAATATTCCATGGTTTTGTCACAGAAGTCGTAATTGTACTAGACAAGTCTACTAGACAAGTCATACTTGACAATAGGGTTACTTCCTGGTACTCGAATCTCATAACATTTAAATATTGCTAAATGAGGTGGCATTACATTTTATTACACCTTCATGACATTATCAGTACCTTTAAGTTATAATATAAAGTAATCTATGGTCCCTTTCATAAAATAAAAACCGTGAACTTATTTAGGATTTGCAACCCTAGGCGAACTTCTCTTTACAAGAAGATTTTTCTTTCCTATCATATTGTTTTACAAAGGCCGGAAGATATTTGCTGATGATGATGACGTAAATGGAAACACTCATGACGTCATGTACATTTCAATAACAACGTTTTCCGGAAAGAAATAATACCTACATATATATTAATTCTTATTAATGTGCGTAGTTGCGCAGTTGCGTACCTGTCTAAATACTCCCTGTGCTCCAGGTGAAATGATGTCGCTGGTCATTTTTCTGTAAACACAAATAAAACATTTGTGTACTTTTTGTAGTCATATAGAAATGCCATACGAAGAAGACTTAATGCATTCATCAGGCAACATATGAAGAAAAAGGTATAGGTACTTAATAAGATAATCTTGTAAAAAATATTACTTAATCGATTTAGTATTGTTACAGATGTATACAGAATTTTTTCTGAAAAGATTTTCAGTTATCACCTACACCTACTTAGGTAATAGCTACGCAAATAGCGTTTGGGAACTATTGAAGAGGTTTTTTTCGTTCATGATGATTAAGTACTAACTAGAAATTATAAGTAGTAACTTATAATTTCTAATTATAAGTTTGAAATCGCCAACCCGCATTGAGCAAGCGTGGTGATTAATGCTCTAACCTTCTCCGTGTGAGAAGAGGCTTTGCTCAGCAGTGGGCATTTATAGGCTGTTGATGATTGATGATGATGATTAAGTATATTAAAAACACCGCGAAAGTTCAAAGCCCACAATAATATTCTACAAAAAGCCTGAAACATTGAATTTGTCCGAAAAACATCCTTTTTCCTTCCATTAATAAAATGACAATTCCAAGAAAATTGAACATTTTTACCGTCTAAAAAGGGTAATTCCTATCTACGTAAATATTAGCTTATTTGGTTTGATTTAGCTAATGACGCAGATTGTGTTAATATTATTATTATCACAGTCTGACATTTTAGTATGATTGTCATTTGTCGGGAATTATCAGAGAGTATCCCGGTGTTATCTTCGTGTTAATCTCTCTGTTGTTAAATCTGTCGACTAATATAGAAAATTAAATTTTTTGTTCACGTTTGGAAATATGGATAGGACGATGGACATTGTGGATAGAAAAATATTTACTTTTTAAAGCATTATTTTTCTTTTATTTTCCTTTTTACTTGACTGTGCGAAATACTTATATTGTTTTTGAACTAGTAATTGTAGAAATATAATTGAATAAAGCAAATATTATCTTGAAATCAAACAAAATGATATCAATTATAGGTATGGAGCCAAATAAATAAACGATACATACCTACACGAATATGAAATGATTATGGCATGTAATTAGTCGAGTATGTCTCAAAAATAAAATTATTGTTACTAACGTCCCAACATAGAATTATAATGCATTTTTTTATCGATCGCGTCGCGACTAAATGAAAGAAAAAGACTACACATTTTCCTGCAGTAAAATACATAAAAGTCTATTTTCAATCTAGTTTTCATATGAAATTATTCAACAAAGCTTCATGAATATCGAAATCTATCTATCTCTCACAAAAAAATGGTGACCCTTACTATTCTCATCGGAAAGATTAACCAGAACATTTTAATTAAAACACTTCGGCAGTTGGACTGGATTAAGATAATTCGTGATATAAAAAGAGTTTCAGACTGTGGAAGTCATTCATAAAACCGTGGATTGTTGGTCGTGAATCACCATCATAAAAATAACCGGGGAAAGCACCAGTTTAAGATGGCTGTCAGGCATTTCATCATTAAGGTAAGTTTTGTACTTTTAATCAATAATTTTGATTATATTTCTTTGCTTTGCCTTGCCTTATTTTGCGATAGTCAAAATTTTTATACATGTTAGGTAGGTACCCCAATTCGCCTATGTCCAGAAAGCTATGCATCAGACTGCAGAGGTACAAAATTCCTACAATCCTAACAGGTCCGTGTGCCATTGTGTCTTATTCAAAGGTCCGCAATTTCAAAATTGCTTGTTAGACCCTGATCGAGATCACCCATAGGATGGAGGGTCCCAACGTCTTGTTCATGATTAAAACTGACAGGTTAAGGTCCAGAGACAGGGCCAAGTATCATGCTAACGAGATAATTTTAGCCTCACAAGGGAACAACTTCAAAGTCACATATCGACGCAGCCATAGATAGTTATATTAAAGAAATAATATTTCTGTGGACGCAGCTCTACTGCTTGAAATTAAATTAAACTAGACGAAATAATTAATAGAAAGCAGCCATAAATCTGACTTCTCTATAGAAGCTGTGTCCACGCCCGACATTCAAAACTGGATGGCAAGCATTGAACAGCAGTTAAATGAAGTATGTGTCATTGCAACGGAAGGCAAACTCAATTCGGAGCAAAAGCTTAGAATATCAAACCTGAGCCGTAAAATTGGAGCTGATGTCTCGCAAATGGCTGTTCTTTATCAAGCTCTGAAGCAGCAAGCTCGCCTAGCCGTCAACATAATGGATGAATTGAGAGAAAACTGTGACCTATCGGAACAAATTGACGAGATTAAAAAATCTCTCCAGGACTCAACTACAGCCAAGACTGTGTCTTTTGCGGACATGGTGAGAAAAGGATCCAATTTCGTTCGACCAAACAATCTGGCCTCTGTCGCTGTGTATCCGGCCAATAAATTGAAAACTAGCGAGGAAACTAAAACTATGGTGCAAACAATTATAAGTTCTAGTCAGATGAAGCTGCGCGTGCGTGGAGTCCGCAAGACACAAAACGGAGGTGTAATAATCAGCACTGAGTCGAAACAGGATGCTGAAAAAGTGAAGCAAGCAGTTGGCCTGTCGTTATCCGGTCTTCTCGCAGACGAACCAAAGAAGCGCAAACCACGAATCGCAGTAATAGGAGTGCCGTCGACAATGACAGATGCTGACGTCTTCAGGTATATTTATGACCAGAACGTATCTGACAAGCTCCCGGAGATGACAATGGAGTGTTTTTTAACATCAGTCAAG